TACACAGGAGAGACTGTGTTCTGCTTGCACGTGCAACCTTGAAAACTGCACACAAAGCACACATACAAGAGACCTGGACATTTTGGTACATTGTTTTTATACATAGCAGAGGGGAGACAGGTCTTCAGTGCTACAGAGCATCCTTTGTCTTTATAATCTACGTTGGTTTTAGATCAACAGTTCAGTTTATTCTGTGATTTTTGCATCATGACCTCTGTCTAAACCACTTTTACCAAATGCCTCCAAAATGGGAGATTGCCATCTAGTGGAGGACAAAAAAAATTGGTGATTTATCATAATTTGAGCGTGTAGACAAGCAGTGGCAGAATGATAAACATTTATTTTCAGTGTATTTTGAAACGGACATCATGCCAGCTGCACTTGATAACAGTATCATGAATCAGAGATTCATGATACTGTATGACAATATGACTATAATAAAAAGCAGACGTAAGAAATTGCTGAAAAACACACAGAAGGTCATACTGAAACATGGATGTGGTTTATGCATACAGAACACACGAAATCATGAAAATATGAGTTTTAGTTTATGGCTTTTCTGCTAGTTTTGGGGTCTTCTTGATGCTAGTGTGCTCCTAAATGTTGACAAAACACTTTTAGAACATGTAAAATATTTCTCTTTTGGTAAATGGACCAGAAATAATGATGTTTTTTCTTTTTTAATAAAATAAACACAAATTATAAAATGAACACCCTGCCTGCTAACATGACCTACCACTGATTAGCAATAGCAAGCAAGGTCTCTTTGTCTAAATATATGAAAAATAAATGAATTTGATCAGAACAAGCAAAAACAACAAATTTTGAATGGCCATTGATGGAGAAATATACTTTTTAAAGCCAAATGGTGTAGTTACAGTATCTACCAGCTGGGGCTAAAATACTATCCCTTGATAGAGAGTAGCAATTCATGGTTCAAAAGTTTGGGATTGGAAAGATTTCTCTTTTCTTTCTTTTTTAAAAGAAATTAATACTTTTATTGAGAAAGGAAGGATGCGTTAAATTGATCAAAAGTGACAGTAAAGATACTTTTAATGTTACAAAATATTTCTATTAAAAATACTAAGTAAAAATAGCATATTTTCTAAGCGATAGATGCCATACACTAAGTGCAAATAGCAATAGACTCTATTTACACTGTAAAAATAGCAGTATTTTCTTTGCAACAAGTGTAGTAGTTAGATACTATTTGTACCTCAGTCTGCCGCCTTATTAGGACAATAAAGCGCTCCCTACACCTACCCCTAACCCTACCCGATAAACACTTTATTATTAAATAACTGGTAGGCACTTTAATTCCACTTTTCACATATTTGCTTCATATTTATTGAAAATAAATGCCTTTCCAATCTGATATGCGATGGAGAAATGTGTCTATCTACCATCTTCTACTCGCCTTACTCCCTACGCCACTGCAGCTGACAAATTACAGGCGTTTTTTGTACTTTGGTCAAGCCCAACCAGATATTGGTGGGCAGAGTTAGTGTAAATAACTTCTACCTACAAGGCAGGCTATTTGCACTGATAATAATAATAATAAATGTTTCTTGAGCTCCAAATCAGCACATTAGAATGATTTCTGAAGGATCATGTGACACTGAAGACTGGAATAATAATGACTGCTAAAAAAAATCAGCTTTGACTTCACAGAAATAAATTACATTTTAAAATATATTAAAATACAAGACAGATATTTTACAGTGCAATAATATTTCACAACATTAATGCATTTTTGATCAAATAAAAGCCTTGTTGAGCATAAGACACTTCTTTCAAAAAAATCGTACAGACCCAAACTTTTGAACACTAACCCTAAATTCTGAAAGTGAACACCAGTGTTTTAGCATTACATAAACAGTAATGTCACAAATCTGACAATGTAATTTTACATTAATGCAAAAATATATATATATATATTTAAATACCAACCATCTTTGCTCAACTGGTAATATATATAGTTGTATAAACCTGGAAACTTAACATCAAGAACATCCAGGTGAACAAAAACACCTGAAACTACGGGTTGACTATTAGTTATTTTAATTTATATTTATTATCAAAAATAAGAACAAAGAGGCAAATTACAAGCAATTGGGCAAATACAACAAAACAAAGATAGAAATGAAATTAACAGTGCTTTATGTTTTTCAGGTAGGGCTATATATCTATTTAACAGTAGCATTCAAGTAAGAAACAATACAGAAACTCAATAAAACTAAAACACTACATAGTCTTCACATGAATTAAATATACATTGATTCATAATAAAGCTACAAGAGTTATTCAGTCAAGAGCAGTGAGTGATTTTCTCTTTATCTTTTGTTGTTTGACAGACAACAGCAGCAGGTTTACTGTATTAGGCTGCTGTCACTTTAAGACCTAATGCGTGGATCCCATTTCTCCGAATCCAATTTCTTTCCCAACTGTTTACGTTCACTTAAAACATAACCGACTGTGTTTACATGAATACTTAATAAAAAATTTTAAAGGCAAGCAAGTCACAACAGTAGCGTGCTCAGTCTATTCTTTGCTATATGTGTTGACCTAAAACTTTTACTTTTTGAAGTAGCCTATTAAAATCATTCAGATATCGCAAGCCATTGCAATATGAATAACGTGCTATGTACATTTGTGATATATCGTGCAGCCCTATTTTTGAATTTTCTCTCAGAGAGAAACACTGTATACGACATACACTCACCGGCCACTTTATTAGGTACACCTGTCCAACTGCTCGTTAACACTTAATTTCTAAGCAGCCAATCACATGGCGGCAACTCAGTGCATTTAGGCATGTAGACATGGTCAAGACAATCTCCTGCAGTTCAAACCGAGCATCAGTATGGTGAAGAAAGCTGATTTGAGTGACTTTGAACGTGGCATGATTGTTGGTGCCAGAAGGGCTGGTCTGAGTATTTCAGAAACTGCTAATCTACTGGGATTTTCACGCACAACCATCTCTAGGGTTTACAGAGAATGGTCCGAAAAAGAAAAAACATCCAGTGAGCGGCAGTTCTGTGGGCGGAAATGCCTTGTTGATGCCAGAGGTCAGAGGAGAATGGCCAGACTGGTTCGAGCTGATAGAAGGGCAACAGTGACTGAAATAACCACTCGTTACAACCGAGGTATGCAGCAAAGCATTTGTGAAGCCACAACACGCACAACCTTGAGGCGGATGGGCTACAACAGCAGAAGACTCCACCGGGTACCACTCATCTCCACTACAAATAGGAAAAAGAGGCTACAATTTGCAAGAGCTCACCAAAATTGAACAGTTGAAGACTGGAAAAATGTTGCCTGGTCTGATGAGTCTCGATTTCTGTTGAGACATTCAGATGTTAGAGTCAGAATTTGGCGTAAACAGAATGAGAACATGGAACCATCATGCCTTGTTACCACTGTGCAGGCTGGTGGTGGTGGTGTAATGGTGTGGGGGATGTTTTCCTGGCACACTTTAGGCCCCTTAGTGCCAATTGGGCATCGTTTAAATGCCACGGCCTACCTGAGCATTGTTTCTGACCATGTCCATCCCTTTATGGCCACCATGTACCCATCCTCTGATGGCTACTTCCACCATGTCACAAAGCTCTAATCATTTCAAATTGGTTTCTTGAACATGACAATGAGTTCACTGTACTAAAATGGCCTCCACAGTCACCAGATCTCAACCCAATAGAGCATCTTTGGGATGTGGTGGAACGGGAGATTCGCATCATGGATGTGCAGCCGACAAATCTGCGGCAACTGTTTGATGCCATCATGTCAATATGGACCAAACTCCCTGAGGAATGCTTCCAGCACCTTGTTGAATCTATGCCACGAAGAATTGAGGCAGTTCTGAAGGCAAAAGGGGGTCCAACCCGTTACTAGCATGGGGTACCTAATAAAGTGGCCGGTGAGTGTAGAGTCATAGACCCTGTCCACCAGTACCCTCTAGTGAGAAGCATCAAAAAACGATGGCAGACAGTTTTTCTCGCTCTGATAGGAGAGCTATTAGACTGGCCCAGAGCAGCCTATGGCTGTGGCCTACTTTAACACTCCCCGTGTAGATTTCCAACCCTGAGAGCATGTCTCTTTTTTCTGCCCCATAGTTAAAAGCAGGAGTGTGAGCTAAACACTAGCAGGAATCGAAGGGCTTGTCACAATCCATTTTTATCTACACATAGTCTTGACTCAAAAATGGCCTCCAGCCAATATAGACATATATATGATTCACTTTGCATATATATATATATATATATATGCAAAGTGAAAGTGAGAAATACTATACATTATTGCACACTAAATTCTGACATGCAATAATCCTATAAATCATTTCATAAACGACTTTTTTTTTATGACAGGAGGGCATAAGCAATTACAATCACCTGTCATTATTCCTGAGAGATCAAGCCAGTTTATCATAAGGTTGTACCAATGTCTATGAAGCTGTCCATCTGCTGACAAGCAGGTGACCAGTCTTATTAAAGATAAGCTGCAGCGACGCAGCGTAGTGACTAGCATACCATGGAGACCTGATTGCAACATGCCGTGTCAAATATTTCACATTTCTTACACCACACAGCCCAAAAACCTACATCCACTACTCCCACTCGTCCGCAAAACCATGTGATACTGAGGCGCAACGGCACATTTGCAGTGTGGTGACCATCAAAAACCATTTGTATCTGTGAATTTAGACACAAGGCGCTAAATGAAACCGGTAGCACGAGATGATGGAAATGACTCACGCGAAAACCCATCAAACCTTGCGGCTCCTTAACCCAGATGGCATATGCAGTTCATCTGAGGGCTGGTATGGTTCTGTGTAATTACTGTTTACGGTATATAAAGATTCAGAGAGTTTCTAATTAAACAGTTGGAAAATTAATGTTTCCATATAGCTTCATACTATGAGTGTGATGGGGAAACATAACCTTCTATCAGAGACAATCTGTAAGAATGAATACATTTACAGTAGTTTGGCATGAAGTACCCACCTGTTCTTTAACAGAGGCCAAGATGGCAGAGGTGGTCTCAGTCTCAGATCCATCTCCATTGGAGGCGTTCAGTACCGGGCTCAACATGCTGGAGTTTTCTGTGTCAAAGGGCTGGTCTGGTACTGGCATTACTTCTGTGAACCAAAACAATAGCATCAATAGTTATTCAAGACGAACTCTGCAAGGCTTTTGTCATGCTTCTGTGTACTAGAGCAATCAGTTTAAAGTTTAAACAGATCCTTTACAAAGACATATTGTCAGTTAAAATTACATAAAAATTTGTGGTTCAGCACTTTTCAGCTGTCATAATACTAATCAAAGTGCTTTATCTACATTTTGATTGTTTGTCGTGATGTAATAATTGTTAGACATATTTAATTAACAGTCTCTGTTTCTTTCAGTCTCTCTCAGTCTCGTCATTGACCTACTTTTGTCTCCTTATCTCTCAAGGTTTATGATTCAAACCAAAATTTCTAAGCTTGTCGCTGACATGCTTTGATTTGTATATATATAAACTTCAGAAAAGACTCTTTTAGTTCATGTGTGTTAGCTTTGATGTCATCTCTACACTAATGTACTCCATAATAAAACTGTTATCTATAAATATTTTTTTTAAATGTAATTTATTCCTGTGATGCAAAGCTGATTTTTTAGCAGCCGTTATTCCAGTCTTCAGTGTCACATGATCCTTCAGAAATGATATGCTGATTTGGTGCTCAAAAAAACATTTCTTACTATTAGCAATGTTGTGAAACAATGAAACAGTTGTGCTGATATTTTTGTGGAAACTATGATTTGTCTTTTTCAGGACTCTTAGATGAATAGGAACTTCAACAGCATTTATTTGAAAAAAATTTTGTATGTCTTTACTGTCGCTTTTGATCAATTCAATGTCTTCTAGCTAAATACAGGTATCGATTTCTTTCATAAAAGAAATAAATACTGACCCCAAACTTTGAACAACCAGAAATATTTGACCCATCCTGCACTTTTAGATAATTACCCATTCAGATGCTCTCTAAAATGAGTAAGCCCCACCACTAATACAACCTAGCAACAGTGATGCAACTAAAGACTAGTTTTTTTGTTTGTTTTTTTAAGAATGACAAGCAAGCCCATAAAAATTCCTGTTTCAAAGGGAAATGCATCACCAAGTGAATTAGAGGGTTTTAAAAAAGATTTTGAGTAATGAAATCCCACTATAATGCTCTGGCTCTCTCAGATCAGATCACTCTCGTCATCCTCAGCTTCCTCCTTGGCAATTCCCTCCCCTCTCAAAATCAACCACCCAAATGTAAAGCTTCCCCAGAGAACAGTCTGCACACAGCAGGAACAGAGAGAAAATGGCTGCTCACGTGCGAATGAGTACCTATGAGTACCTATGAGCACCAGAACACAGAGCCTTTTTACACAACCACATCAGGTACAACTATGAACACGTCTGTTCTGTGTGAAAGAGAGAATATACAACACAGATCTTACTGCCTGAACAGTAAGATCTGTGAAAACAAATTCTAGTCGCTGGTGAGGTACAAGGCGAAATGGGAAAAGTAGGGATAGTTCACCCAAAAATTAAAATTCTGTCAGTAATTACTCACCCTCATGTTGTTCCAACCCCGTAAGACTTTCGCTCATCTTTGGAACACGAATTAAGATATTTTTGATTAAATTTGAGAGCTGGATCACTCCTCCATAGGCTTCAAAGGGATTGAAACTTGCCGGCCCAGAAAAGTTATTAAAGACATTGTTAAAATAGTCCAAGTGACTAAAGTGGCTCGATCTTAAGTTTATCAAGCGACGAGAATACTTTTTGTGTGCAAAACCCCCCCAAAAATAACGACTTTATTCAACTATTAATTTTAGTGGTGCAATATAATATCGGCCGATATGGTCAATTTGTTACACATCGGTATCGTTGCGATGTCAAAATAGGGTCGATGTGAACAGGCCGATAATGATTCCTGTGTATTTGACGTGTGTATAGATGTGAGTGTGGGGGCGGGGATGTTTGTTTTTGCACATACATAAGCGCACATAAGCGCATACATTATGAGCGCAAGTCCTGTCAGTTTAAACATCAAGCGCAAGAAGAGTGGAACTTGCGCGCTGTTTTCTGTCAGCCTTAGGCGTATTTTTGTCCCGCCAAAGCCTTATTTGACCGGTGAGTGATGTAGATGACTGACTGCTGTGCTTGTTTAACTGAGAGAACGAGCAGAGAGAGTGAAAGCCCTGGTCGCGCGCGCACTCTCACCTTCTTCAAACTGTCTTGCTCTCTCTCCCTCCCTCGCACATATTAATGAATTAAGTTGACTGAATATCTTTGAGAATACACGATGGTAAAAGGTCGGAAGACCAAAGTTTTTTTTTTTTTTTTTAACTACCACTGGTTGTGAATTGTGCTAAAATAAAGGCAACGCTATTTTAGCACAATTCACAACTCTGAAGTTTCGATAAACAAAACAAAAAAATCTATCTAGTGATGAAATGTTTTCTGTGTTGAGACAAATCTTGTGCGATGTCCTAAACTGCCTGGATAATCACACAACGTGTGCCGTGGTCCGTTAATGACACGTCCGATTCGTGAACTAATTACTCCTTTGAACCGATTCACTTTATTGAATGGTTAAAACAACTGATCTGTCCAACACTGAACTCAAGAGACATAAATCAGAAACACTTTACAATAAGGTTCCATTTATTAAAGTCTAGTTAACTGCATTAGTTAACATTCTAGTCTGGCAAAGCATCATAGACAAATCATTTCCAGAGGGGCGTCACCAACGGACGTCGCGGATAGACCTAAAACCCATCAGAGCGATGAAGGAGATGACGTATGCAGAGCGGCGGAGAAACATCTCCGTGTGTTGTTCTTTGCTCGGTTTTTAACAAAAAGGAAACGTTCAAATCGCTTAAAACAGACGCGATAGCTGATTCGAACGAGTGATGTTCGACGGCGGCATCCATCTTTGTAATGTAGGCTACAAAATCTGCTTCAAAATCCCAGCGCTGACGTCATCGTGTAAAGCCCGCCCCAACGTTTCTGATTGGTGCCTCGATTTCGACGGATTGGAAATGGGCTTGAATGAGCTCTTTGCCAGACTAACTTTCAGAGCAAATCTAAATTTGCCGGAAGTTGTCTGGGTTTTCCCAGGCTAGCACGTCGGTAAACTAGGAAATTAATTTGCGCTCCCTGGGCGGGTCGGCGCAAAAAGGAGGCGTGTTTCGGCCATAGACTGTAAAAAAATATGGACGTAGTGTCCGTGACGTCACCCATAGGTTTCTGAAGAGCGTTTTTTGAAGCCTAAAGTGGGCGGGGCCGGCCGTCGCCATCTTGGCAGCGCATCACCTCTCATCACTACCGGATAACAGAAAAATGGCCAAAAAGGCAGGACGTGGGTGGAGCTACTGGCCTCGCGTTAAAGTGAAAGCTGATTGAAGAATTAAAGCCAATAGTTTAGTTCACGTTTTTGCCCTTCGAAATATTATAATAGTTAAAAGACGTAACTAAAAGTGAGACTGTGTATAGTGATGTATTTTTATTCTGCTATAAAAATGTGTTATCATGCAGTAACTTACAATATTGCTCTGAGCTTGTGCGTGTGACAGTGATTCATGCGCATACATGTCAGTCAGCATGGCATCGCACGTCAAGTTCGTAAAGAGCTTTATTTAGACCATTTTAAAATCTGATTTTATCAGTGCTGGTACTACTCGACCTCAGTGCTGCATTTGACACTGTCGATCACGACATACTACTTGACAGGCTGGAAAACTGGGTGGGGCTTTCTGGGATAGTCCTAAAATGGTTCAGGTCATACTTAGAAGGGAGAGGTTATTATGTGAGTATAGGAGACCATAAGTCTGAGTGGACGTCCATGACATGCGGAGTCCCTCAAGGCTCAATTCTTGCACCACTCCTGTTCAACCTATATATGCTCCCAATGAGCCAAATAATGAGAAAGAACCGAATCTCTTACCACAGCTATGCAGACGACACACAGCTCTACTTAGCCCTATCGCCTAATGACTACAGCCCCATTGACTCCCTGTGCCAATGCATTGATGAAGTAAACAGTTGGATGTGCCAAAACTTTCTTCAGTTAAACAAAGACAAAACTGAAGTCATTGCGTTTGGAAACAAAGATGAAGTTCCCAAGGTGAATGCATACCTTGACGCTAGGGGTCTAACAACTAAAAATCAAGTCAGGAATCTTGGTGTGTCTCTAGAGTCAGATCTTAGTTTCAGTAGTCATGTCAAACCAATAACTAAATCAGCATACTATCATCTGAAAAATATTGCAAGAATTAGATGCTTTGTTTCCAATCAAGACTTAGAGAAACTTGTGCATGCTTTTATCACCAGCAGGGTGGATTATTGTAATGGACTCCTCACTGGCCTTCCTAAAAAGACCGTAAGACAGTTGCAGCTCATACAGAACGCAGCTGCCAGGATTCTGAGCAGAACCAGAAAATATGAACACATCACACCAGTCCTCAGGTCTCTACACTGGCTCCCAGTTACATTTAGGATTGACTTTAAAGTATTATTACTGGTATATAAATCTTTTAATGGGCTAGGACCTCAATATATTGCAGATATGTAACTGAATATAACCTAACAGATCACTCAGATCATTAGGATCACATCAGCTAGAAATACCAAGGGTTCACTCTAAGCAAGGAGAGTCTGCTTTTAGCTATTATGCCAGCCGCAGCTGGAACCAGCTTCCAGAAGAGATCAGATGTGCTCCTACAGTAGTCACATTCAAATCCAGACTCAAAACACATCTGTTTAGCTATGCATTTACTGAATGAGCACTGTGCCACTGTTCGTCCGACTGTTTTTACTGTACTTTATTTTTTATTCTAAACTGTTTTAATTATTCTTATTTGTTTTGATTATTTTAATTTCTTCTATGTAAAGCACTTTGAATTACCATTGTGTATGAAATGTGCTATATAAATAAACTTGCCTTGCCAACTTGCCTTGCTTCTCAATTTCTCAAATGGGTTAAACCAAAGATATTACCTCAGAAGTTCAAGTAAATGCACTAGAAATCCACGCTCATTCAAGGGTATTACTGCATGGACTGAGAGAAAGCACTGACACCTGCAGGATTTCATCTGACGGTAC